AGAATGTCCAGATCCCTGAAGCGAAGCAGTTCATTAAAGTCCCGCATATCAGTATAGGCTATTATTAAAGGACAACTCTGGCGCAAAATGAACCTTTGGTCTAATTACACATTGCTACCCATTCAACCATTATCTGAGATTTGATTTCATGATTGCCGAATGTAAATAGTTTTATTTCTAAAAACAGTTTAGCCTATAACGCTAGTATAATGCTAGTATATAGGGCATAGAGTAATGACAAATAAAAATCGCTTGTTATTACCACTAACAAGGCTCAAAATAGCCCCACACCAACACGACAGCATAACAAGGGTCCCTACATTAAAACCGAAGCATTGAGAACTTTGTCAGTGTCCAAACAGTTTAATAAGAAGATATTTTATACACACAGTCAACTTCGCGAATACAGGAAGAAGCCATCTTTGAAAAATAGTCTCTACCAGTCGATCTACGAACGCCGATCCAAGTGCGCCGAACTGTGCAGAATCTCATATGGTCCGTTGTTTCCAGAAGAAACACAAACACAAACCGTTTACTTGTCTTCAATATGTACACGTAGCCTACTGTTCGCGCTCACCTTATCACCTTATTCACATCTCACCAGCGCACTTGGATCGGCGTTCGTAGATCGACTGGTAGAGACTATTTTTCCAAGATGGCTTCTTCCTGTATTCGCGAAATTTACTGTGTGTATAAAATATCTTCTTATTAAACTGTATGGACACTGACAAAGTTCTCAATGCTTCGGTTTGAATGTAGGGACCCTTGTTATGCTGTCGTGTTGGTGTAGGGCTATTTTGAGCCTTTTTAGTGGTAATAACAAGAGATTTTTATTTGTCATTACTTTATGCCCTATATACTAGCATTATACTAGCGTTATAGGCTAAACTGTTTTTAGAGATAAAACTATTTACATTCGGCAATCATGGAAACAAATCTCAGATAACGGTTGACTGGGTAACAATGCGTAATTAGACTAAAGGTTCATTTTGCGCCGGAGTTCTCCTTTAAATATAGCCAACACATTGAGCCCAGGGGAGAGAGGAAACCCATTTTTTTTTTTTTTTTTTTTTTTTGCCCTGGCCGTATGAGGGATGCACTTCCCATTCAATAATTAATTCATTACCTTCAGCCTAATTGAACTGTTACATATAAAACATAATGGTTTTTTAGAAATATTATTTATGTAAATGAATTACCTGTACCTGGAAAGCTGTACAATATTATCTCTGGTCCATATAACTAAACATTAACTCCCGAACCTTTGTTTGCTAAAAAGGGATTTAACTAGAAGCAAATATATTTTATAACTCTAATGATGTAAGATTCATAAATTCTCTATGAATGATTAACAGAGATTCATGAATACTAAAGCACTCTAAATTTGTCCAGTCTGCGTGTGTCTCCCCTCACATATCCAGTGCCAGTGGAGGTTACCCTGGATACATGCTAAAGGGAACAGACAAAATCGTCTCTGCCTGCAAAGCATGGGACACATTATATTTAATGTCCCTTTGTCTTTTGATGTGACTGAGTGTTCTATCTGGTCGACAGTGGTGATGATGTAACCATGACACATTAAAAAATAAATGGAGTGTATGAAGTCCTTCAAATGGTTTTGTGGGAGTCTGTGTGATTGAGAGAAATCCTTTTTCATGGCCAGAAAATCTCTGTGCCAAGAATATCTGTAGTTACTGTGTTACTGTGCACTGTAAAAAATTATTTGATCAATAAGTTATGACAACATATGTTCTCTTACGAGAGATTCTCTCGTACTGTGACTGTGTAATATCTTATGCTATAAGGGGAAAACCTCTTTTCCACCACATATTGAAGCCAAAAATTATCCCTAATTTTGAATAAATGTAAAACGCATTACAGCAGCATGCAGACATAGGCAAGACGGCTCGCATGTGGCTGTGCAGGGCTCTCAGAGATTTTGGCGGTGGCGGCAGCAAGGGTTTGGTGTGGATGGGTTTCTGATCTGATAGATGACACATATTCTTACAAATAAAATAATATTTATTTAATTCAGCATTTCTTTGTGTGTGCGTGCGTGTGTGAGAGAGAGATAATGGTTAGTGTTGTTTATTGTAGGTGTTGGTAGCAGATTTTGAGGCCTTCAGCACAGGGGTTGGTGGCTCCCATTTGAAGCACTGGGGTTCCAGGCCTATTGTCATGATGGATGACAGGGTTCCATCTAGTGCCAAGCCATGTGATTATTAAGGTCAATATTGCGGTTGTGATATGCGATTGCGATATAAACAAATGGTTTCATGAGTCAACTTGTTTGGTTCTTAACCAAATGCACACACAGATTAGTGATAATTCTGAAATTAGCAATAACAACTAAATGAGAGAGGCCCTTGGTGCATCGACTCTCATTTTGAAAAACAATAACTGTATACGGTGCACTTTCAGATATAAATCTTTGCAGGATGTTTTCATTCCCTTAGAGCTATATTCCACACCATATGCACAGTCATTTTCAAAAATCCATGATAGGGGCTCTTTAAATAAATATCCAATATTTAACTTATCCAAGCTGCTTATACTTAAAAATTTAAGGCAGCAACTGTTTTTTTTGTTTTTTGTTTTTTTTTAATACAGTGGAGGGGATTGCACTTGAAGTCTAACTTTTTACTTTTTACTTATCAACAGCATAATAAACCAAACATTTGTAAACAAGAGCTTATTATGCCTCAAAAATACACAGCACAAAACACCCCTTCCTATTGTTTAGTATCAAAGCATTGCTGTTTGTGACCGGTTCATTGAGAAGGCTGTTATTTGAAATGGTCAATTGTTGTCTATAGTGAACTAGAATGTAAATGACCATTAAAAGCACAGCTATTGACTCCTTGCCATTCTCACAGCACGATCAATTATGACAGAAATCTAAGCACCCTGTAAGGACCATTAGTCTATTATATGTTTTGCATGATAATGATTGCATCTAGTACATCATGTATAACCTTATTGTTGCTATTTGACATGAAATATAAAAGTAATAAAAATATTAATATTATTAACACAAATTACATAACATCAATAAAATGGTAAATTATTTCTAACAGTCTTTGATTTAGTCATGACAAAATCCTCCACTGGGTACTTCCTTCTAATCTTGAACTATCCTTCAAGTGTTGACTCAGTAGTTTCCATTCATCTCATAGCATCACTAAAGAGGATGTACGTCATGCACCCTATAAGCACACTATTCCACAAAGCATGTTGTGCATTTAAACTGTTCAAAAATAGCTTGCCTGATACAAGACAAAAAGTTAGATTGTACCTTTGTTCTGTTTTATTAGATGATTGCTCTGCGGTGGCTCATCTTGAGACACAGAATTATGACAGTTTCAGGGTTTTCAATCAAAGGATGGATGGAACCTTTTCATATTTCTGGGGTTCTCAGAAGTGCAAGTCATTATAGCTGGTTAAACTTCTATAGTAGTGAAAACAAATAGGTATAATTTATGCATTCTCATTTACCCCAACAGCTAAAAAACAACAAAAAAAAAAACATGATAGCATTTGTAGGTGAATGTGATTTAATTTGTAAATGAATGTTGCAGCCATCCCCTGTTATGAGGTCAGTTGCAACATCTGACTTTATCTATTCAAGTAGCCTATAAATTGTACATGTATTATCATATGCTCACATGTATTATATCAGTGTGAGTAGGTAGCTGACAGATGTGGGTATAGGCCTATTATTGTATAACATTTTTGTGTTTCCAATACAAACAGTCTCTGAGAAACTCAAGTAAAAACTCAAAGTGTTGCAACCCCACTCTCCCCTATAGGCTATACATTATATTTTATGATAATATATTGCATATACTATAGGTAGGCCAATCCTACTTTAGCGTTTTATGAGTGTTTTTAAAAACCACAAAAGTAATGATGTTCAATATGTTTCACCTAAAGAGGTTACTATAGCAACACGCTGCCGAAACACCGTCAGTAGACTAGCCTGACGGTCTGTAATAAATAAATAAATAAATAAATAAATAAAAAGTAGCCAATTATAACAGGCTTATTTTATTATTTTATAATAAATACAAAATTACTTTATAATAAAATGTTATTTTATAAAAAAAGTATAATAAATGTTAAAATAAAATACATATTCGTTTATTTTATTTAAGACTTTATTAAAGGTTTGAATTAAACCTGCAATCTAAATAAAAATGACTAGTAAATTTAGCGAAATGTGCCACACGACTCCCGCGACGCACGAGACGAACAAACCTATGATCAGAAACAGACCGACGTGAAGGAATACTGAATAATTTGACCACTGCACGTAAGTAATCAAAGACATGCCCCTCTCGAGGCGCTAATAGAGTTGGGACACCTTTTTTTTTATTTTTTATTTTTTTTTATTGTAAATTACAAAAATTAGTCAGATACATTCAAACACCAAACAGAAATAGAAAGGTTAACAAATTTCTCCTATCATAAAATATAAACATAAAAAAACAAAAACAAATATGGATACACACACACAAACATATCCATACATACGCATTACAAGTATTTCATTTAAATAAAATAGATGAATAAATAAATAAATAAAAATACAATAAAAATAGCTAGCCACAGAATACATAAATAGTAAATTCCTCTTACACAGCCAATAAACATTGGGTAAATTAATCACTATAATATCAGGGAAGCTTACCAAATATATTTTCATAGCACTCTATAAGTCTATTACACTTCTTATTATCTATCAGGGTAAGGGAGTTGAAAAGTAATTTAAGTTCTACTAAAAATAAAGGGAATGAGGGTTGAGAGCCTAAGAATTTCTGCTTATGAATGAAAAATTTCCCCAATAAAATTAGAAAGTTCACCACATGAATTAGAGATTGATCCTTACTATTATCATAATAACATATTACATCCTTGAGAAGTTGGGACACCTACCATCCCCCGATTAGTGCACCCAGCGGCGTCGGCGCACACCACAGAGAGAGAGGAGCGATAAAAAGAGGGAAAGACGTTTACTGTAAACGCATGTGTGAGCAATAATTAAGCGTTTATTATGCGGGTCTCTCCGTCGCACTGAGGTGTGGTAACGTTATAGCTAACCGGTGCGGGCGGCTCGCTTGCTCTTGATGTCATCTGAGCTTTGGCCAGAACAGGTTGGTGGACCTGGGTTTGGATGAAACAGTACGGTCACGGGGATTATTATTATTCTAGCCAGAGGGGCAGAGGTTTAATACTTCCTGGATTATAATTGTCGTAATCGGAACGGGCTATAGTAGAGCAACGGGCTGCTGATATTGTGCGCCCGTTTAAACGCTTCATTTAAATACACTACTGCGGAACTTTTGACTAGTGAACGAGGCTATATTAGAGGTTTTGATTTACCTTAATCCACTCATCCTCAAAGTGGTCTTTTCTGAAGAAGCAAGCGTGTTAGAGAGGTAGCCTACGATGCAGTGCCCAACACAGCTCTGATTATCGAGAACAAATTTGGCCCGTTTTCACCGCTGTTTCATATGGGCGAAGCAAGAACTCGGTTCCCTTCATGTTGGACATGGGCTCGCTGTCAAGATAACGGGGTGTCCGATCCAGAGCGGGAGAAACGATGGGCAGAACTGTTCGATCAGCTGGATCTGAATAAAGATGGGAGGATCGACGTGAATGAACTGCGCACCGGATTAACCGCACGGGGGATCCTTCGCGGTGAGGTGGTGGACGAGGTGGGTTCGGGACGTTAATAGTTGTTCACCTACGTGCTCTAACCAAGTTATGATGAATGCCAAACATCTGAAACCATTAGCATATAATTTTTATTTTTTATTTTTGATAAGACTAAACGAGAATTTAAGTTTAGGCCTACTTTTAGCAAATCCAGCATAGGCTACCTGTGGACCAAGGACAAATGATCCCGTGTAATTTATTTAAGAGTTAGACTTTCCACGCTGCATATTGACAAACCTCCAAACTAACTTTGTTGCTTCTGTAGGGCAGACCTGAATGTGTTGAAAAGCAGGGCTAGATATGACGTCATAAATTTAACCTGTGGTTCTCAATCAGGGGGCAGAGATAGATAGATAGATAGATAGATAGATAGATAGATAGATAGATAGATAGATAGATAGATAGATAGATAGATAGATAGATAGATAGATAGATAGATAGATAGATAGATAGATAGATAGATAGATAGATAGATGATAATTTTTTATCAAGCTTGTATATTTAAGTTCAGTAATTTCACTTAAATGACAATTAATAGGTAATCTTCATTGCCATTTAAGTGAAATTACTGAACTTAAATATACAAGCTTGATAAAATGATCATTCTAGAAGAAAATTTCAAATGGCACTTTGAGGCTTTTGCATCTGAACTCTTATAGTAAATGAGATTAATCAAATTGATGCACTGAAACAATTTAAATTAATGTTTATAGTCTTGCATCCCCACTATTGGTTTTGTGGTCCAATTCTGTACTTTTGTTTTAACATTAATTTACACAGTTTATGCAGAGGTTGTACATTAAAAAATAAATAAATAAGTAATAACATAGAAGACAAATTTGAGATAGTTTTATATATATATATATATATATATATATATATATATATATATATATATATATATATATAAAAGGCACATGGTGCAAAATAACAGATCTACAGATGTTGAAACAAAATGTGTGGCACTGTAATTTTAGAAAGTGATGTCAGGTGATCCAATCATATACCATAAACAGCATGGATAAATCTGCTCCACTGGGTTAGGATGCCTGAGTTCAGGGAATGTAAGTGTACTTGATCAACACACTGACAAGGAAAATTGTTTTAAATATTGACAGTTTATGCACTGATAATCTTTTGTATGGTCTGTATAGCCTACTTATTGGTTCCACTGAAACCATCTTTTACAAGACGGTAGGATATTTGTTGACTTGATTAAAGCACAATAATCACGGGTTGGCATTTCAACTTAAGTTGAGATAAGTGCAAAATTAAATTAATGCCCAAATTAAACAGTGCTTATATTTACATCTTAACGCTATTTAGGCTACCTGAAATTGACCTTTTTTTTTTTTAAACTTGCAACATAAACTAAAGAGCACCAACATTTACATTTTCACTCCTGTTGTAAACAGCCTCCTTCTTGCCAAAGCGACATGAAAAACAGTGCATATGTTGTGTTGTGATGATTACTTCAGCAGGTAGTTAAGGATCGAGTCCTAAGATGAAACCATGAAAGTGCCATTAAGAAAGTAACTTGGAGCAACACTATATGCCAGTGGTACGTGCTGTTGGGTTGTGTGACTGTGTTAGTCATGTGCTGTGATGTAAGAGAGATTAGCTCTTGTTCACAATGTGTTTGCGATTGGAGTCGCCAGACTACTGGCAGGGCTTTACACACAAACAGAAAACTTGCATCTATAAGCTCAGAGCAATGCCTCTTTTTCTCTCTCCTTTTGCTTTCTATTAGTTTCTCTTTGTTCCTCGTTCTACACAGGCATGACCACAGATGCAGACAGTGTTAAATCAAATTCACATATAAGTCCTTCATCAAACCCTCACAGTCTTGCCCTTAACTGCACTTTCCACCCCCTCCACCCCTCAGATTGTACGTGTGAGTGACACCAATCATGACGGCCAGCTGGACATTGAGGAGTTCACACAGTATCTGCGCACACACGAGAAAGAGCTCCGACTAATGTTCCACAACCTGGACCGCAACAACGATGGTCTGCATTATCCTTTCACACATTATAATGTCAACACACACGACATCACTGTAACTGCAACTGCAACCTCATAATACTTCAATGCACTTTTTTTTTTCTTTTTTTTTTGCACTATTGCTTTTAAAGTGTTAAAATAACGTTTGTGTTTCTTTGTCTATTATGTTGTCATAGTATCATTCAAAATTTTGGGGTCAGAAATTGTATTTTTTGAGAAAAAGATAAAAAAATTTCATAAAGGTTGTCCAATTAATTTTGATTGTCCACTTTAGACATTCTAACTATAAATAACTTTGCAACTACATGTCAACCTACTCTTATTATAGTATTAGTAGACTGTCTGCTTAATATCTGCTAACACCTTATTTTGATGATCCCCAGTCGCTCCCCGGCGCCACAGTGAATGGCTGCCCACTCTGAGTGTGTGCGCTAACTTAATGCTGAGGACAAATTCTGAGTATGGGTTAACATACTAGGCTTTCACATGTCACAGATCATACTGACCCCAAATTTTGAACAATTGTATATCCTGTGCGATATATATATATATATATAGAATAAGCCTTCAAGTATTTTATACCTCAGGTCACATAGATGTTGCAGAAATTGAACTCTCCTTGCACAGCCTTGGAGTGAATGTGTCCACAGAGCAGGCCTCCAGAATCCTGCAAAGGTTAGATCAGCTTTCCACAAAACACTGTTTTCTTTTTGTTTGTTTTTTTAGTGCTTGATCAATCATGTACACAACTACTTCCCACTCTGGCTGTGTTTTCAGTAGACTTTGAGATGTTTCTGTGAAGCCCACATGTGTTGAGTCACACAACTTCAATAGGCATAGTAAAAGCTTGTTTTAACTATTCTATTTTCCTTTTTGTGTCTCAGCATAGACAGGGACGGCACTATGACCATTGACTGGAATGAGTGGCGAGACCACTTCCTGTTTAACCCCTTGCACAACATGGAGGACATTGCCCACTACTGGAAACACTCTCTGGTTTACTTACAGCTCTTTTCAGAAATTATACTGTAGGCTTGATATTCATAATACATTTTAGAATGTAAACTTCATCTGTCCTTTGAATTCGTAATGTTTGTGTGTCAGATGTTGGACATCGGAGAACAACTAACTGTGCCAGATGAGTTTTCAGAGAAGGAGCGATGTTCAGGTGTGGTGTGGAGACAGTTGGTGGCCGGGGCAATGGCAGGAGCCGTTTCGCGAACAGGAACTGCTCCTCTGGATCGTCTTAAAGTTTTCCTTCAGGTTCAGTCAGTTCTTAAAGAGGCCTTATTATGCTCCTTTAAAAAGTCTTGGTTTTATTTTTGGGGTCTACTAAAATAGGTTTTCATGCTTGAGTGTTCAAAAAACATTACCTTGTTGCAACACCTCTCCTTCCAGTCTGTCAGTAATGCTCTGTTTAGTTTCTGTCTTTATGAAGGCCCTCCGCTCTGATTGGTCAGCTGGTCAACAAACGCTTTAAAGTCGGCGTGAAACGGAAGTTGAAATTGTAATTTTTTTCCTTGTCGTGATGTATATCCGAGTGAAACAGCTTCTGAAATTAGAAAAAAATGTTGGTCAGGGCTTTTCGTCCTTCGGGAATTGATTGGATCGTTGGAGGTTGGGCTTTGCAAACAAAACGGTGGCAGATTTGAATGCGATTCTCTGAGAGGCGGTGCACCGATAGCCGCACCCTCATCGGATCTGGCCGCACCCTTTCGCCATTCCACATGACCGAAATAGAAGAGAGTTCGTTTCGATGGGGGAGGGAAGGGTAATGTATTTGATAAAAGATTATAAGCGTACATGAATTTTTAAAAAATAATGAAGTGCACAGATAAATCATTTATAATAAACACTACAATATTACATATAAAAAGAAAATTTGTCAAATTTGATGTCATGCCGACTTTAAGTGTGTTTTGAAAATGTCAAGCCCATAACCATAACGGTGAATTTCAACACACCATTAACTCAACTTAACCAGGCCTTGCTCCTTTTTTGCGATTACACACTAGCAACATTACACACTAAAAAAAGTTGAACATGTAAAATATCATAAAAGGTCCATAATAGGTTCTCTTTAAAAGCGTTAGAATTAAGTTTTCTCTCTATGAATTATTGTTCTATCAAAGAAACTCAACAGAAATAAATAAAATCCTTTGTTGGGACTGGCATTTGTGAAAAGTACATTGCTTGTAATGAAAGGAGTGTGAACTGAGTGGGTTTTCAACAGGTCCATGGCTCAAGTGGTGTGAGTTTGTTGGGTGGCTTGCGTGGAATGGTGCAGGAGGGAGGACTGAAGTCCCTTTGGAGAGGCAATGGCATCAACGTCCTCAAAATTGCCCCGGAGTCAGCTATCAAATTCATGGCTTATGAGCAGGTAAACAAACCAGAATACAGTAGCTACACATTTTAAACCGCTCTGTATTTAGCAACATATTGCCTAATATTAGTAAACAATTTAAAATGTCTTGTGTAGATCAAATGGCTGATCAGAGGCAGTAGGGAAGGTGGCTCTCTAAGGGTTCAAGAACGTTTCATTGCTGGCTCACTGGCTGGAGCTACTGCTCAAACCATCATCTATCCCATGGAGGTAAGAGGAGGAAATTAGAGAAATGAAGAGACTTTTAATTTTTAACTATACAAGTAATGTAACCACAGACCTTTTTCACACATAAATCAAGAAACTGGGATTCTAAAAACCCATTAGGAATTCCTGAATCCTTGGTAAATTAGCCTTCTGGGTTGGCCTACAAATTGACATCAAGACTAAATGGCTCTAAAATGATAAGACCTGAAGAATTCAGTTGCTTTACTTCTAAACGTATTGTATTTTTTTAAATCATAAGCACTTCTTGAGAAATTGTAAAAAAGATCTGTCCCAGTTTTAGACGATGGACAACATAGAACTGAAAAACTTCAGTATAAGCTGTCAAACTGATATTATAATATTATAGATATATAGACATACAGTAAAATATACATTTATAATGTTCAAAAAGATTTCTATTCCAAATAAGTGCTGTTTTGAAATTGAATTTCTATTTATCAAAGAATCCTGAAAAAAAATGTGTCCCATTTTCTACAAAAATATTAAGCAGCACAACTGTTTTCAACATTAATAACCAGAAATGTTTATTGAGTATTAAATCATCATATTAGAATGATGATAATTATCATGTGACAAGGAGTTGTGATGCTAAAAATTTTGCTTCGACATCACAGAAATAAATTACTTTTTAAAATATATTCAAATCGAAAACAGTTATTTTATTACAAAAAAGGAAGTTCAACTCATATTTTGGATTTTCATAAAAAACAGTTACAGGAAGACACTTACAATGGAAGTTCAGGGGAGAGGCAGTAAATATTAAAATGCATACTGTTTTAAAAGTATATGTGTACTATTGATACCTGGATGATTTGGATTATCAAATTAAATCTTGTATTTGACCTGGAACATTACTTAATGGTATTACTCATTTAATGTCTGGCAGTAAAGGTATCCATTGTCTTAAGTTGTGTAGTTTTTCAGCTGCTAATGTAAAGTACAAACACTAGAGAATCTGTTTAACAAAGCTGTTCCTAATTGCTGTTTGTCTCTTTACTCGTGTTGTTCTAAATGTTGAAAGAGTCGAAAATGAGCTGGGCCTAGTTAACAAATACCGATAGAGATTGTCTTTCTATTCCTGGTGTGCTTAAATGCAAAAAACAAGTTTCTTTTTTTAGGTTCTGCTATTTTTTTAATGAGGCAGATCAGTTTACATTTTGGAAGCCAAATCCTAATTATTTATTCATTTAGAGATCTTTGAAGGAGTTTTTCCAGCTTAAAGTTAAAATTACTTCTCATATATTTCTCATATTTATAATAATTAATTGTTATTTTTTTAAACTTTCTATTTGTTTCCTCTGTTCCTTCCCAGGTGCTGAAGACACGTCTGACCCTCCGAAAGACAGGACAATATTCTGGCATGGCAGACTGTGCTAAACAGATACTGCATAAAGAAGGAGTGCGAGCATTCTACAAAGGCTATGTGCCAAACACACTTGGCATCATCCCTTATGCTGGCATTGATCTGGCTGTCTATGAGGTATGGCTGTGTGTGTGTATTTTGACACATTTAAGTGTTTGCGAATGCCTGCTGCCACTGACAGGCTGTGGGTATTTATCATTTTCAGTTGCAATAGTTGGTAAGATAAAAGTTTTGTATTTTACATTCCTGTGCAATTTTCTATTTCTAACAACTCACAGGTCTTTTTTCAGGTGACTGTATATTATTAACTCCATGTCATTGTTTCCCGTGTGACAAAAACGTATTATTTGGCCATGGACAAACATTTTTGTCACATTTGTCACACGTTTTTATTTATATTTAGTTCCCTTCTGTTCAGTCAGTTGTCCGCTCTCCATTGTATTTAGTGTGTGTGTGTACCTTTTGTCTGTCTACGTATACCATTTTAAGTTATATTATTGTAAGGAAAACGCTTTGCTTTGGAACTTTAGACTCATCTTCTTCTGCCTGCACCACACCGTGACACATTTAAAATAACTGATTAAAATGTATTAATAAAAAAAGGGATAATCTGGGATATTTTTTTCTGTTTTGGGTGGGTTTGTAGTATGTTTTAGTTCTTTTTCGTAGTTAGTTTCTGTTTTTTCATTGTTTGAGTATTAGTTACACCTGTTGTTCATTTCATTGATTTGTTTGATTATTTAAGCCCAGTGTTCTTTCAGTTCATTGTCTGTTCTCATCACATTATTCTGGTTGTTTCGTTCATGTTTCGAGTTGATGTGTTCTGAGTGTTTTGTTTTGAGTTTGAATTTAACAAATGTTGCAGCAAATAGATCCATATAGGTATACGTTGATAACATATATCAACAATATCGTTTTTGTATAATATTATATTTAGAAATGTTATGTATTAAAAAAATATATCTGAAACATATATTTATCTCCCTCTTCTGTTTGACAGACTCTAAAGAATGCTTGGCTACAGCGGTACTGCATGGGCTCGGCTGATCCTGGGGTTTTGGTGCTGCTCGCATGCGGCACTGTGTCCAGCACATGTGGGCAACTGGCTAGTTACCCGCTGGCTTTAATTCGCACACGCATGCAGGCTCAGGGTGAGCGAGAGGAAATGCAATGTTATTCTGATTATGAAAAGAAAAATGTAAAGAAAAAGAACCGCACTCTCTAGTTAAATCTCATGAAGATTTATTCATTCACTGAATAAATAAATCTTCATGAGATTTAACTAGAGAGTGCGGTTCTTTTTCTTTACATTGATCACTGTTTTATAACTCGCACCCAAAAAACGTCTTGGTAGTTGAGCGCGCCTAGTTTGAGCATTCTGATTATGAAACCCATAAAAATATATTCACAAGAATGAAAATACACAACCTCACTCCTCCCTTTCTTCTGGATAGCCTCAACAGATGGTGTTCCACAGCTATCAATGGTTGGCCAGTTCAAGCACATTGTGTCCCACGAAGGCGTTTCTGGGCTTTACCGTGGCATTGCCCCCAATTTCCTCAAAGTCATTCCTGCTGTTAGCATCTCTTATGTGGTTTATGAGCATATGAAGAAAGCACTGGGAGTGGGGGCCTAAGCCAGAATCAGAGTGACGAAGAAAGATAGAACCTGTATTTTAAAAAAGGAGCATTAGTAGGGCACAGAGGACCCCTGGAGAATAGGATAAAGAAGACATAGTCAATAAATGACCTAAAAACCTACTCTACATCATACACAATTACATTCCCATTGCAATTTATACTTCAATAGGATGAAAATACAGTTTTGTGGAGAGGCAATCATTAAGAACAATGGTTGTGTTTAGAGTTTCTCTTTGACTGGCAGCTTGTAGATCTCAGGTTTATTGTGCACTATAAACAGCTTCTTATCTTCAGAGGTGAACACCATACTTCATTTTACATGGAATTTCATTGGCGTAATTATAAATGAAGGGTAAGAAACGAATAGGTAATGACATCTAATGACAGAGAATGATGGTGAAATAGTAGGCCTATTGCAGTATTATATTTTTCTAAATGACAACCAAAGTTTCCCTCCTGAAATTGACCAAAATATTGAAGGTGTTTTAATGTACACTGGGGAATGGAATATTTGAATTAGTCTCTACTGACTGATCTTTCATAACATTTACGAATGAGTTATAAATTGTAAAGCATGTTTCTGCAGGGATTTACATTATTGTATAACTTTTTGTATTTTTGTAAAGGTCAGTGAGAGTTAAGTATGTCATATGCTACAATTGAATGATCAAGAATTTGCACTCTTCAAATGATTGTGGAATTATTTATATCTTAAACTGAATCATGATGTTCTTTTATGACACTCTGCTGCTTTGCTTTTTAACTTTTTTTGTACAAAACTTTCTGATATTTCAGACCTTGTTGTATAGAGTAAAATACAGGATTTAGTGTTGCCTTGAACAACTTGCAAATGGTGCAACAACAAGGGCATTGGATGAGATGGGGACAGCCAGGGCCGTTTCTAGAGGGGAGAAAGGTACAACAACCTGCACTGGGGCCCCGAAGACCCTAGCTGGATGGGGAGTTTAGCAGTAAAGTTGTGCATTAGATTTGGATGCTTTGTGTTTATTAATGAATGTGTTATGGTGAATGATAAAAAATGTGGCTCAAAATAGTATTAATCTGTTCACAAAGGGCTTTTGGTAGTGCATGATGTCAGTGTCACAAGTTGCATGTTTTACGTGTTTTAAGAGCTCTGATTGTCCATACCAAAACATGCAAAGCACTGTTAGGCCTATATTTAAAACTGACAAGAAATGCATGTTTATTTAACATAAAACATGACTGCTGTTACCAGACTCTAAATCAGAAACACATTAAGTACTGGATGCTACTAGATTACACGACTAAACAACAAAAAAAGTCATTTGCTTGGTTCTGTAAACTAAAGAATGAACTAATTACAATTTTTGTATCACATCTCATTTTATAGACTATTGGGTATTCAGTCCTACTCCTGAAGGTCCTTTGGGCCAGTTGCATAAACTGCTAAGACTAATCTTACAAGTTAGTCATCAATTTTTTTCTTAAAGATCATTCATACCTTTTTTAAGTCAGTTACATGAAAATGTATGTATGATACTCAAGAGTACAACTGACTGTCCCTTGATTAACTGCAAGTGGTTCATTCTTGATCTTATAAGACACTGTTTTAACTGGTTTAGCTGCATCTAAGCTGAATCACAATATTCCCATGCCTGCCTTTTTACTTTTTTTAATATAACATAAGGGTTTAGGGATAAATACTGTTTGAATGTAGTATTTTGAGAAATACATTTATAACTTATCTTAGAAAATAATTACCTCTGGAAACTTTTTTTTTTTTGCTTTTATGCATTGCATTGAGAGTAGTGTGCCTTGACATGCTGTGTTCACTTTAAAATAATGTGCATGCGGTGTAGCCAGTCTGGCAACAATTCCCTGCATAAGTAAGAATAAATACAATTGAGAGGTTATTTAATATATATTACAGTACAAAATAAAACGTTTTACTCAAATACCTGTCTCAGAATCAAAATTTCCTTTCAAATGTTGTCATTCAAATCAAAAGGCCATAAAAAACAGATAACACTGCACTGTAAAATCCAATTAGTACAGCTTACTTGAAAAAAGCATGCAAACCGATTGCACTTAAAAAACTGAGTAAAGTGAAATAGGAATAATATGTAGTACTAACAAGTACATGTCTAGTAGTGTACACTTACAAGAGGGTTCATATAACTTAAAATAATTTGTATACTATACTTGATCTTTTATTTTAGATGTATGTTATGGGTAGTCGTGACTGAATGGTCATGAGCAGATGTAGCACTCAGGAGAAGTTAGATGAGTTTGCATAGATGGGGTTTTTATTTATCCATAATTAAGGCCAATGAAAAGCAAGAAAAAATAATAAAAAAATACTTTTGAATAAACAAAGTAAATTGACATGAGTCAAAATAAATACATACATAAATAATAATAAAAAATAAAAAAAACTTTTACAACAGTTCAAACATTGACCTTAACACAAGTCAGTATATTAGAGCAAGGACAGACTTATGTCCTTTCACCCCAAGCTCCCCTAACAGAATGAAAATACTAGCCTTTATAGACCTGAGTTCACCCATGGAATTGGAACATACCAACACATGATTATGATACAGGGGTGACTCAGATGACAACCGCATAAATGCTTAAAAACAGCATGAAATACAACCTCTATAAAACTAGAAAATTACAGAATATTATTTCTATAATTTCAGCTGACAATTGGCAAGCAAAGTCACATTAACAGCTACGAATTAATTAAACTCAAACTCAGGGTCATTTTTCTCTTGACCCGGAAGTCATAGCGTCATTTAAACCCCACTATAGCGGCACATTTTCCTTTACTCAAACAAACCAGAGACGCGAGTAGGCCTACAACAAAGATGGTATGTGAACACAATGTTTCTCTTAAACTAAATAAACAGATACCTATTGAAAACATGTATTCTGTGATTATTGTAACTGAATAACTGTGATGTAAATGACATAATTTTCTGGAAAACAGTGAGATATGCATTGATAGAACAGAAGTAGCTATAGCATTTAAATCACCGCAGTATTAGCTCTTAAAGATGTGCACACCAAAAGCTACGGGATATATGAGATTTTGTTATGAAAGACTAACCGCTGATTTATGACCGTATAAAGATTAACAAAAAAACCTTAACGTGCTAGACAAACATACGGATCACATTTACACACAGTTTTTGAGTACAAGAATAGGCAGCGTATCGCTGCCGTAACGATAGCTATGCGCCCCGTCACAATGTACTCATTTATGCTAACTAGTTGTGTGACTGAATTATGAGACGGGAGTGTTGTAACCCAGGGTCAATTGTAACACTGTCAGAAAAGAGCTATAGAGTGGTCATTAATATCTTGACACCATACCAATTTGAGCTTACAGGAGAAGTGGCATGTGAATGAGCAACACTGTAGATTTTATGATAAAAAACAACAAAAACTGATTTCCAGGAAGGAAAATCTAAATAATTTTTTGCCTAGCAATTGTTTTATAAGATAGCCTACAATTATTTGATGTGCATTAAGCTACCTAAAATAGCTGTTTCTCTAGTTTAATTTGATGCTTTGCATTCATGCCAACTTCAACCCCACTTGCTAAATTGGTCCATGTATCATCCTATCATTTGCTTTCCAATTTGAAATGAAATAAGAAGAAATGAGAAAACAGCAGCTTTTTGCAGTTTTTTTTTTTCGTAAAAAAAACAAAAACAAACAAACATGACCAAACATGACTTCAAAATTCGTTTTCCATATGTGGGGAGTCATGAGAAGCCCCCTTCCGCTGATTGGTCAAGTCCAAATCTGAGCATATGACGTCATCAGCCGTCTCTCAGGTCTGTCCAACAAAATAATAGTGCTCAACAGTAATCTACCCATTAAGGATGTAATTTGTCATTTTGAAAACCCAAACAAATCTTTAGAATCTACTGGTAACTTCCTTATTGTGGCAAATGTATATCTTGGACTTTGTTGACATTTTGAACAATTTAAATTGAGTTGGGCCAACACAATTTTGGAAAGGTTCAATTCTAAATATCAATTATTGAGTTTGACCGACTCAATTTTGGAAAAATTTAAATTGAGCTGGCCAAACTCAATTTTGGAAATTTTTAATTCTAAATATTTATTATTGAGTTTTTGCCAACTTAATTTTGAACAATTTAAATTGAGTTGGGCTAACTCAATTTTGGAAAAATTTAATTCTAAATATTAATATATTAAATATTTGCATAAAATAGATGGTGTAGAACTTATTTCAGCAAACTACCTCTCATTGTTACATCCCCATCTATTGTTACAACCCATCATAGGTAGGTTGTAACAAAAAATAAATAAAAAATACCTCTATGTATTTGACACTAACTCACTTAATCTGTGATTGTGTAGTCATGTCCATTTATCAGAGGTTGAGAGATACACAACCAGAGTTAATGATGCTAAAAGTGTTATTACTGTATGGCCTCCCGACCCTACCATTACACCGGTGATGAGGTCAACACTTTAACACTTACTGACAGGTCAGTAAATAATTAATTGGGCAAACTATTTATTAAATGTTTCCCCTGATATTCCTGTAAAATTTTACAAAGCAATAGATCGTGAAGGGACAAAAATTGGTGAGTATGGAAATGTGAAAAAAAAAATAATGTTCAGTCATAAATGATAACTGAATTCAGTTAAAGTTTTTTAAAACTATTTTTCATTTTGCTGTCATTTGAGCACCAGTTTCCAAAACTGTGCACCTCCTGACCAGTAAGTGGCGGCATTAGCTACTTCTGATGAGTTGTCAGTGCACGGAAAATGCCGCCGTCAGAGCTGCCGCCGTCATGTCCTGTTTACTCCATTTTGTTTCTGCTAATAATTTGGTAGGTCTCAGTGTGCTGATTGCGGAAAAGACTGCTAAATAAATTATGGGGAGAAAAAAGAAGAAGCAGATGAAACCCTGGTGTTGGTATCCTTCTTTTAAAGCTATCATACTGTTGTTCTAATATTTTCCCTTGGTGTATTAGTAGGGATTGGCTCACTTCCTGTTTACGGATGGCTAATGCATTGTTCGCATGTTTCTCTTATAATCAAGGCTGTGTCTCAAACACATACTGAGCTATGTGCTTTACTCTCAAGACATCATAGGCGCTTATGAATTTGAGTTCTATTTGAAAGCACGCCTGATCGCTTATTATATTAAGTCACAGCCCAGACTTCAGTCTTTGTCATTATCCTTCAGCTGGTGATCCTGGATTAAACATTATCACAAAATAAACCTGGTCATTATGACCAGGACCTCGGCGTGAAGCGAAGACCTAACTTACCAATTAACACACTGACTTGATACATCATGATATATCTAACGATATAAATTGAAATGATGTTTTGTTTATGTCTGTTTATTTGTTAAAGTTACTTGTAGATAAGTGCAACGTTTCCGCGAATAAAACATACCATTATGGTCATTTATAACGTGGAGAACAGTCAACAAGGAAATTAACAGTTTTGTGGTTATTCTACAACAATATGTGACTCCTAAATTCGTCAATTCACAATCACTATTCACATTTTTACGTTGAGAGTTATAAACAAATGTATCTGCTTTCATAGACATTTTAGTGCCTAAACTTCAAAGTCTCAACATCTTGCTATCATCATAATATGCCAGTGGTTCTCAACCAAGGGACCAGGGCCCACTAGGTGGCCTTGAGTTTATTTTAAAAAGATAAAACAAACTGTTAAATAAGAAATTCCTTTATTTTTAATTGTCTAGTTGTTGTTTTTTAACAACCATATGTATAATAAGCTTTTAAACGGCAAAAGTCCCCTGAATGAATAAGGGAATTTAGTGAAAGTGTAATTAAACTCTATGGACATTCTTATAAAGATATTCATTTTCCTCTAAAATGTATCAGTTTGAAAAAATCCTTATTCAGTAAATCACAAAGAACAGGGGAATGTCACAGGGCCTGTTCTTATTGTGGAAAATGGGGAGAACTTGAAGGTTGAGAACCACTGGTGTTTATGAAAGAAGTGTGACAAAAGATTTAAGCATCCTTATGCTAATAAGGTTGACTTAATGACGTTTTTGGCTTTCTGTTATGACTTTTTTTCTTGTTTATATGACTTTAACCGCAAACCCAGGTACTGTAACAGGGATTTTGATGATGAAAAGATTCTCATTCAACACCAGAAGGCCAAGCATTTTAAGTGTCACATATGTCACAAGAAGTTATACACAGGTCCTGGTCTGGCCATCCACTGTATGCAGGTACATAAGTATGTCATTGGGATTGTGTGTCTATATATGTAATATATTCACTGTATGTCTTAAACTTTTTGTTTGTTTATTGAAGGTTCACAAAGAAACTATTGATGGTGTACCTAATGCAATACCTGGAAGGACTGACATAGAACTGGAGATCTATGGAATGGAGGGTATTCCAGAGAAAGACATGGAGGAGAGACGACGTGTACTTGAACAAAAAACACAGGGTAGCACATTTAACTTCATATTACTCATGCTATTTTTGTAGCCCACGTAAACCCATAATAACAATATTCCCCTGCTTTGTGTAAACAGAAAATCAGAAGAAAAGATCAAATCAAGATGACTCTGATGAAGATGATGAGGACGAAGAGGCTGGACCCTCCTTCCAACAGCCAGCATCAACCGCACAGCCTCAGGCAGCCTACGCCCCCATGACTCAGCCAGGAATGGCACCTGTTCCTGCTCCAGGGATGCCACACGGAAGCTACTCGGGTGTGCTTTGTAATAATACAAAACAACCAGTTCAAGCTTTTATGCATAGTATATTTATTATGTGTCTCCTAAATTACTTATCTCAAAGGAATGCCCCCAATGATGCCTGGTGTTCCCCCAATGATGCCAGGCATGCCCCCTGTCATGCCAGGGATGCCTCCAGGGTAAGCGTTAATATAGTCTGAATATTGCTCA